CCCAAGGATGACTTCCAGAAGCCCAACGGCTCACAGGCAGGCAACGCCAATGACTTCGGCAACTCCTGGAGGAGGCGGTACCTGGCTCTCCCTGCCTGCCGCCACCCACCTGCCCGCCAGGGAGCGAGGGCTGCGAAACCAGCAAGTGTCCTCCCGAGCAGGAGAAGAAGTATGAGAAGGAGGAGTTCTGTGGGTTCCTCTCCAGCGCCACAGGGCCACTGGCCTCCTGCCACAAGCTGGTGGATCCCCAGGGTCCCTTGCAAGATTGCGTCTTTGATCTCTGCCTGGGTGGTGGGAACCTGAGCATTCTCTGCAGCAACATCCATGCCTATGTGAGTGCTTGCCAGGCGGCTGGAGGCCACGTGAAGCCCTGGAGGACGGAAACTTTCTGTCGTGAGTGAGGGAGAGCCAGAGGGGCAGGGAGGGGAGAGGTTGAAGCACAGAAGGGTAGACCCTGGGCCTTGCAGCCCCTCCCTCCCCAGGGCTCTGACGGGCACCCCTTCCTTGCAGCCATGAAGTGCCCAGCGAACAGTCACTACGAGCTCTGCGCGGACACCTGCTCCCTGGGCTGCGCGGCTCTCAGTGCCCCTCTGCAGTGCCCAGATGAGTGTGCTGAAGGCTGCCAGTGTGACGCCGGCTTCCTCTACAACGGTGAAGCCTGTGTGCCCATCCAGCAGTGCGGCTGCTACCACAATGGTGTCTACTATGAGGTAGGAACCTAGTCATCTGGGGCAGAATATGGGGCCTCACCCCTCCCACTCCTCATCAGCCCCACAGCCTACTTGGTCTCTTATTTATTCTTTTTGAGTCAGGGTCTTGCTCTGTCACCCAGGATAGAGTGTAGTGGTACGATCATAGCTCACTGCAGCCCCGAGTTCCTTGGCTCAAGCAATCCTTCACCTCCCCTTCCAAGTACCTGGACTATAGGCGTGCACCACCAAGCCCAGCGAGTTTTTAATTTTCTTATGGAGACATAGACATGGGGGTGTCTCATTATGTTGCTCAGGCTGGTTGTGAACTCCAGGCCTCAAGCCATACTCCCCCCTTGGCCACCCAAAGTGCTGGGATTAATGGCATGAGCCACCATGCCTGACCCATTCAGCCTCTTTTTTTTTTTTTTTTTTGACACATAGTCTTGCTCTGTTGCCCAGGCTGGAGTGCAACCTCTGACTCTTGCCCGGGTTCAGGTTCACTGCAACCTCGGCATCCCAAGTTGAAGCAATTCTCTTGTCTCAGCCTCCTGAGTAGCTAGGAGTGCAGGCGTGTGCCACCACGCCCGGCTAATTTTTTGCTTTTTTGGTAGAGATGGGGTTTTCCCATATTGGCCAGGCTGCTCTCAAACTCCTGACTTCAAGTGATCCTCCTGCCTTGGCCTCCCAAAGTGCGAGCATTACAGGCATGAGCCACCACAGCTAGTCCATTCAGTCTCTTGAATGTCTCTTGTACTACTCATTTCCCCGTCCCCATGGCCCTCCTGTGGTCCAGCTGGTCCTCTCCCACCTGGGTCCCTCCAGGCTCCTACCTTTGCTCCCTCTGGTCCACCCTCCACATGGCAGTGGTAAAGATCTTTCTAAATATCACCATGGACTCTGAAGCTTTAAACCCTCCCCTGACTCCCCAGGTGAAGTTGTGGCTTTGCCTTCCAGGTCTGGAAAAAGGGAGCCTTTCTGACCACAAAGACAAGATTTTCATCTGTTATACCAGCTGCTAACACCCTCTGTTTCCCTCTCCCACTGTCTCCCTGTTGGTCCTTTTTCTTTGACTGGAGCATGTATTTGTCTAATGTCCGTCTCCCTTGCGGGAGTATGAGCTCTCCGCGGAGTGGGACCCTCTCTCTGTTGTTCTCCTCACGTAAATAATAGTAATAATAACAGAAAGTATGTAGATAGTGCTTTTATGTATCTCGTAATGTTTTGAGTGCTATGTGTGCATATTTTTATATATACATTACCTATCTAAAAACTTTTTATTCTGAAAATTTTCAAACATGCGAAAATTAAGAGAATAGTGAAATGACTGTCCATGTACTTACCCATCACTTAGCTTCAAAACTAAGCCACATACTCCCAATCTTGTTTGATGTCTACCCCCCGTATCTCTCCTATCTGAATGTTTTAAAGGAAGACTTTTTTTTTTTTTTTTTTCCCTTGGGATGGAGTTTCGCTCTGTCACTCAGGCTAGAGTACAGTGGTGAGGTTTTGCCTCACTACAAGCTCCGCCTCCTGAGTTCACTCCATTCTCCTGCCTCAGCTTCCCGAGTAGCTGGGACTACAGGCACCCGCCACCACACCTGGCTAATTTTTTGTATTTTTAGTAGAGACAGGGTTTCACCGTGTTAGCCAGGATGGTCTCAATCTTCTGACCTCATGATCCACCCGCCTCAGCCTCCCAAAGTGCTGGGATTACAAGCATGAGCCACCGCGTCCAGCCTACCCTTTTCATTTTATCTGAATTTTACATTTTATCTGAATTTTACTTCCATAGGCAGGCACTACTATTTTCTGCAATTGGCACATCAGGAAACTGAGCCATAAAGCGGTGAAGTAACTTGCTCAGAGTCACAGAATTAGGAAACAGCAGAAACTGACTTCAAGCCCAGGCGATCTGCCCTTAGTTACTATGTCACACCATTTCTCCTACAGCAGAGATTGAGCGGATATTTTGGAATGAATGAGTTAATGAATAAAAGTGAATGAACAAATGTACAAATGAATGACGGCCCCAAACCCATGCTGTGCCTCAGCTTCACAGACAGGGCGCCATCCTGCTGAGAGATGTCCCTTGTCTGTGATGTCTGCAAACCCCTCTGTGCCCAGAATGCCAGAGATGTGAGAGTCAGCTCCCACCCGTGATGTCTGATGGCCGTGCCCTCTCTCCCCACAGCCGGAGCAGACAGTCCTCATTGACGACTGTCGGCAGCAGTGTACATGCCATGTGCGTAAAGGCGTGTGGTGCCAGGAACACAGCTGCCAGCCGGGGCAGGTGTGCCAGACCTCCGGAGGCGTCCTGAGCTGCATCACCAAAGGTGCTGGGCTGGGCTGGGACTGGGGCTGATGTGACTATGGATGGAGTACAGGGACTCTGGGGCCGAGGGTGATGTGACTGGGGTGTCCATGGCGGGAGGTGCACAGGACTAATGATGGAGGTCGCAGACCTGGAGACCCCTGGGCTGGGTTTCACAGGGCCAGGGCCACCTACTGTGGGAGGCAGGGACCCTAGGGAAAATCCAGGCTGTGGGACCCTCAGAGGTTTCTCGGGTTGATGTCAGAGACCCTCGGTATAAAGCAGGGACAGGCGCGCCTTTGCTGATACGGGCTACATGGTAAATGTTTCAGCTTGCAGGCTGTATGGTCTCGTTCCAACTACTCACTCTGCCACTGTGGCATGAAAGCAGCCGTAGACTAATAAGTGAAGAGGTAAGACTCCTAGAATACTTTAGAATACAAGAGCAGCACCCTAGGGGGCCATGGTGAGCTGACCACTGGTGCGTGGAATTAGGCCTGGGGTTCAGACACTAGCACCAAAGGGCAGGGGAGAGACTGGAATCCCAGGGACAGGGACAGAGAGCAGAGTTCTGAGTTTGAGGCACAGAGACCCCACCAAGGCAGAACATTGGATATGGGGACCCCTCTCAAGTGGGAGATCAGGATTTCTAGGGGTATAGTCTCCCATGTGGGAACCCCCCCAGACTAAATCTAGGACACAGAGCCACCCCCAGGGCTCATTTCTTAGGGTGAAGAGCAGAGAACCCTCCTCCCCGTATGGATAAGATAATAGGAGCTCCAGCACCAACCTGTCGGGGTAAGACTCTCAGGGTGGTGAGAGGACAATGGGACTCCCAGGAATGGGGGTATATCACTCAGCATCCAGTCGAGAGACAGAAAGCACACAGCCATTTGAATGAGGAAAGTTCAATTAAAGAATCATTTACTTATTAATAGGAGATTAACTATTAAAAGGCAAAGAGGGCCTGGTACGGTGGCTCACACACCCAGCACTTTGGGAAGATCGCTTGAGGCCAGGAGTTCGAGACCAGCCTGGACAACATAGCGAGACACCCGTCTCCACAAAAAATTTAAACGTAGCCAGGCGTGGTGATGCATGCCTGTGGTCCCAGCTATTCAGGAGGCTGAGTTGGGAGGATCACTTGAGCCCAGGATTTCGAGGCTACAGTGAGCTATGATTGTACCACTGCCCTCCAGCCTGGGCAAGGCAGCAAGACCTTGTCTCTTTACAAACAAACAAATAAATAGAAATAAGAAACGGTAAAGAGAACACTAAAGAATACCACCAAAGCAGACAGAGGAAGTAGCCCCCACTTCTAGGGCTACGGTAGAGGCCTCATGGAAGGGAGAAATCGGCCCCTCCTCTTCAAGGAGGGGAGAATCAGCCCCAAGGCTGAGTCCAGTCCTAGTGCAGCTGTAGCCCACTGGGTGGCACAGAGGTTTCTGCAGGCTGGAGTTGGCAAGAAGGAAACCTCTCACTGGGAAGCCAGCTGGGACCAGTGGCACTCACTGACTGTGGCCACACACCCTGGCCAGAGCTGGAAGGGCCAAACCAGCTGGAGGCCAGACCAGGAGCCCCTCCCTGCTGCAGTGACTCTCCAGCGCCCTCTGTTGACAAAGCTTAACTCTGCGGGTGCATCTGAAGCTGAGAAGCGGTACATTGGTAACAGGCACAGGAGGAAGGAGACATTTGAAGACTGGCTTCTCCCACACAGGGATTCCACAAGCTGGGGTCACAGATGTACTAACCGTAGGAACAGGGTCCTGGACACAGAAGTCCTCCAGGACAGGGCCTCAGCAGTGAGACACCCTCAAGGCTACTGGCTTGAATATAGCAACCCTCCGGGGTGGAGTTTTGCGCTGAGGGAGGCCCAGGCCATGAGACTTAGCTAGTTAGGGCCTCAAACGTTTCGAATCATGCTGAGACCCCTGGCAGTGAGCTCTTGCCAGAAGATCACCCAGGGCCCTAGTCTAGGGCACAGAGGCCGCCAGGACCTAGAGAAATTGGAGACCAATTGCTATCAAATGTGGAGACGTCCAGAGGGCTAAGGTCTCAGGCATGGGGGACCCTGAGGCCTAGATCTTTTTTTTTTTTTTTTTTTTTTTTTAAAGATAAGGTCTTATTCTGTCACCCAGGCTGGAGTGTAGTGTAGGTTACTGTGCCTCGATTTCCTGGGCTCACACAATCCTCTTGCCTTAGCCTCCTGAGTAGCGGGGGACTACAGGCACACACCACCATGCCTGCCTGATTTATTAATTGTTCTGTAGAAACGGGGTCTTGCCATGTTGTCCAGGCTGCTCTCAAACTCCAGGGCTCAAGCGATCCTCCCACCTCAGCCTCTTAAAGTGCTGGGATTACAGGCCTGAGCCACCACACCTGGCCTGGGGCCCAGGCCTTGAACAGAGAGAACTGTAGTGCTGGGATCTCAGACATGAATGCTCTCAGGGCAGGCACTGCAGACACAAGGACCCCTGGGGCACAGATCTCAACTTGGGTCAAGTGCACCTTTTCTCTAAAGGGCTAGATGGTAAATGTTGAAGCTTGCAGGCTATACCTTCTCGATCACAGCTACTCACTCTGCCATGGTGGCGTGAAAGCAGCTGTAGACTATGTAAGTGAAGAGGGTGAGGTTCCTATAAAACTTAAAATAGAAGAACAGGCTGAAATCTCAAGCAAGGACCCCAGGGAAACTGCATCGTAAACACAGGCCTAGAGCCTTGGTCTTAGGTGCATGGACTCCACAACCTCAGTCTCACACAGCAAATGGCAGGGCCTCAGTCTTAGAGGTGTAGGGGGACTCTAGGGCCGGGGTCTTGGCTGTAGGGACCTCTGGGACCCGGGTCTCAGGTATGGGAACTTTGACACCCGAGACTTAGACACAGTCCACCATGGGGCCTCAGTGTCAGACGTGCGGGACTCCCTGGGGCTGGTCTTGAAAATAGCAGGCTGGGCGTGGTGGCTCATGCCTGTAATCCCAGCACTCTGGGAGGCCAAGGTTGGCTGATCACTTGATGTCAGGAGCTCGAGACTAGCCTGGACAACATGGTGAAACCCTGTCTCTACTAAAAATACAAAAATCAGCCAAGCATGGTGGCGGGCACCTGTAATCCCAGCTACTTGGAGGCTGAGTCAGGAGAATCGCTTGAGCTCGGGAGGCAGAGGTTGCAGTGAGCCGGGGTTGCACCACTGCTCTCCAGCCTGGGTGACAGAGAAAGACTCCATCTCAAAAAACCAACAAAACAAAACCAAATACAAAAGCAAAACTATAGCACCTGGGTCCTAGACATGAGGACTCTGGAATCCGGTCTTGCCTGCGGTAACCCTCAGATCCCTGGCACAGACTGGGGTAGATGTGGAGGCAGCGGCCATCCTTTACAATGGGCAGCCTCTCAAGGTCCTCCCTCTTCTGTCCCCAGACCCGTGCGACGGTGTGACATGCCGGCCACAGGAGACGTGCAAGGAGCAGGGTGGCCAGGGCGTGTGCGTGCCCAACTATGAGGCCACATGCTGGCTGTGGGGCGACCCACACTACCACTCCTTCGACGGCCGGGCGTTTGACTTCCAGGGCACCTGTAACTATGTGCTGGCAACAACTGGCTGCCCGGGGGTCAACACCCAGGGCCTGACGCCCTTCACCGTCACCACCAAGAACGAGAACCGGGGCAACCCTGCTGTGTCCTACGTGAGAGTCGTCACTGTGGCTGCCCTGGGCACCAACATCTCCATCCACAAGGGCGAGATCGGCAAAGTCCGGGTATGTGTGGCAGGATGGTCCCCTGAGGTCCCCGGGAGGACAGGAGGGATCCTGACGACCACAGTTAGCAGCTCAAGGCTCTTGTCTTCACCTGGGCCTGAAACAAAATGTCAACAAAAAGAATAATTCCAGCAAAAATATCTCCCCGTTCCTGGGAATTAAACAAGCCTAGCCCTTGCTAAGGGCTTTAACCTAGGACCTCGGCATTTGCTTTTTTAGAGATCTGGGTTTCAATCCAGCCTCTCCTCCTTATGAGCTAGGTGATGCTGTGCAGTTCACTTGGTAGGCCTCAGTTTCCTCATCTGTGAAGTGGGCATCATATCAGGGCCTGTCCCACAGCAAGGTGGTGCATGTCACATGCTGAGCTCAGAGTCTAGTCCAGGTGAACACTCGTTTGAGTGTCTGTGAGGGAACAAGTGAGAGGCTCAGAGACCAGGACATGGAGAGAAAAATACGGGATTGGGTGGGCATGGGGGCTCACACCTGTAATCCCAGTACTCTGGGAGACCAAGGCAGGTCGATCACCTGAGGTCAGTAGTTCAAGACCAGCCTGGCCAATATGGTGAAACCCTCATCTCTCTAAAAATACAAAAATTAGCTGGGTGTAGTGGCGCTACTGTAATCCCAGCTACTCTGGAGGCCGAGGCAGGAGAATCACTTGAACCCTGGGAGGCGGAGGTTGCAAGAGCCAAGATTTTGACACTGTACTTCAGCCTGGACAACAGAGCGAGTATCCATCCCCCGCCACCAAAAAAAAAATATATATATATATATAGTGAGATCACAGGAGAGAGATGGGCTGTCCTTTCTGCCCAGGGAAATGGAGATAGAGCTTAATGGTAGCTCACAGACAGACACAGAGGATGGAACAGAGTAGGCGGTGAATAAATGATAGTGAGTGAGTGGAAGAGACACAGAGAATGAGGGAGGGAGGGAGGAAGGGAAGAGGAGGGAGAGACAGACAGAGAGAGAGAGAGAGAGACGACCAAGTGATAGAGACTTAGGTGAAGACAGAGGGAGAGAGACACAGAGAGACAGAGACAGGGAGGGAGGTAGAGATCAAGGGAGAAGATTAGAAAGAGTAAAGTGAGGTTTCATTCCCCAAGACCTGGGCCAGAACAAATGTCCACACGGTGTCCGATGACAATCCAACTATCAGAGGAAGGCCTTGGCCCCTCCCAGCCCCCGGTAGGGTGAGAGAGAGGGAGGCAGAGGGCCAGAGCTGGGGCCTAACACCTCCAGTGACCCGTTTGACTTCTTCCTCCTTCCCCAAGGTGAACGGTGTGCTGACAGCGTTGCCTGTCTCCGAGGCCAACGGGCGGATTTCAGTGACCCACGGTGCATCCAAGGCACTGCTGGTGGCTGACTTTGGACTGCAAGTCAGCTATGACTGGAATTGGCGGGTAGATGTGACGCTGCCCAGCAGCTATCATGGCGCAGTGTGCGGGCTCTGTGGTAACATGGACCGCAACCCTAACAATGACCAGGCCTTCCCTAATGGCACCCTGGCTCCCTCCATACCCATCTGGGGCGGCAGCTGGCGAGTCCCAGGCTGGGACCCACTGTGTTGGGACGTATGTCCGGGATCCTGCCCAACGTGCCCTGAGGACAAGCTGGAACAGTACAAGGGCCCTGGCTTTTGCGGACCCCTGGTCCCTGGCGCAGGGGGCCCCTTCGCCACCTGCCATGCTCATGTGCCACCTGAGAGCTTCTTCAAGGGCTGTGTCCTGGACGTCTGCATGGGTGGTGGGCCCACGACATTCTTTGCAAGGCACTGGCTTCCTACGTGGCCGCCTGCCAGGCGCTGGGGTTGTCATCGAAGACTGGCGGGCACAGGTCGGCTGTGGTGAGTGTCGGGGTAGCAGAGGCGGGGCTGGGGTCACGTTCCCGTCTCTTGGGGCTAGTTCGGTTTCACTCTGGTCCTCCTGGGTCTCTTTGTTTGCTTTTCTCTCTGTTTGTCTCTCTGTCTCTTGGTGCTCGTCTCTGTGCCTCACTTTGCTTGTCTCTGTTTCTCATTCTGTCTCCCTCAGTTTCTTCTTGGGTCTCCTGGTCTCCTGCTTTCTCCCATTTGTTTCTCTGTGTTCTCTGTCTCTGTGTCTGTCCTCTGTCTCCCCTTTCGTGTCTGCTCCCTATTGTCGCTGTCTATCTCCTCCCACCCTGTCCTGTGACCCCACACTAACACCCTTTCTCTGTTTCTCTCCTTCCTGCTCCTTCATCTGCTACAGAGATCACCTGCCCAGAAAACAGCCACTATGAGGTCTGCGGCCCCACCCTGCCCAGCCAGCTGTCCGTCCCCTGCGCCCCCTGCGACCCAGCCGTATGCGAAGGTCCCTGTGTGGAGGGCTGCCAGTGCGACGCGGGTTTCGTGCTAAGTGCTGACCGCTGTGTTCCCCTAAACAACGGCTGCGGCTGCTGGGCCAACGGCACCTACCACGAGGCGGGCAGTGAGTTTTGGGCTGATGCACCTGTTCCCACAGGTGCCGCTGCGGGCCTGGGGGCGGCTCGCTGGTCTGCACACCTGCCAGCTGTGGGCGGGTGAAGTGTGTGCCTCCTGCCATCCGGCCAGCACGGCTGCCAGCCCGTCAGCACAGCTGAGTGCCAGCCTGGGGTGACCCCCATTAGTCACTCTGGATGGGCACCGATTCGATTTCCAAGGCAACTGCGAGTACCTGCTGAGTGCACCCTGCCACGGACCACCCTCCGGGGCTGCGAACTTCACTGTCACTGTAGCCAATGAGCACCGGGGCAGCCAGGCTGTCAGCTACACCCGCAGTGTCACCCTGCAAATCTACAACCACAGCCTGACACTGAGTGCCCGCTGGCCCCGGCAGCTACAGGTGAGGAGGGCTGTGGGCCAGACAGAAGTGGGTGCCAGCTCTGGGGTTGCCTGAGATGGTAAGGGCTTCACCATTCCCCTGGCGGGCACCTTTCACAGCTTAGCTGGGGCATGATGGAAGGGTCAGAGGATAGGCCTGGGAGCCTGATGGCTTGGCACCGCGGCTTCTTCCTCTCTGAGCCTACTGTATTCCTCCGAAAACTGGTCTAAGAAAAGTACCTGTTGTAGAGAAGGATGAGGAGTCAGTGACATGTGCCTATAGAGGCTCTTTTTTTTTTCTTTTTTTTTTTCTTTCTTGCTTTTCTTTCTCTCTTTTTTTTTCTTAGCCTGACCCTGTTGCCCAGGCTGGAGTGCAGTGACAGGATTAGGGTTCACTGCAGCCTGGAACTCCTGGGTTCAATCGATCCTCCCACCTTGGCCCCGCCTCCCCAGTGGCCGGACTAAAGGCGCCGCGACCACACTGGCTAATTTTTCATTTTTTTTTGTAGAGATGCAGGTCTCACTATGTTGCCCAAGCTGGTCTGAACTTCTGGCCTCAAGCCATCCTCCCATCTCGGCCTTCCAAAGTACTGGGATTGTAGGCTGCGCCACCAGGCCCGGCCTA